TGGTGTGAACCTGGAGAGCAAAGGGAGGGTCAGTGCGCATCGGGCAGGGCCGGCCGCGCCGACGGCGGGCTGCTGGCACCTCCGCAGGGAGGCTGTCACCGAGGGGAGGGAGAGTTTCTGGCTGAAATGCTCCATCCTGTCTTGGGAGTGTTTTCTGTCTAATAAGGGCAGTCCAAAGTGTTCAGCTATTTCAGAGAAAAGGACTCTGAAAAAAGAGGTGTTTTTTTCAATTATGTATATACATACATCTGTGTGAGTAAAGAGTGACTTGTTTTGGAAAGCCTTCATGGCTCCGTGCTCTGGAGGACTGAGGATCTGAAAGCCTTGGTGCTGCAGAGGCCTCAGTGCCCTGCCATCCTCTGTGACAACATGCCCGTTTTGTAAACCTGCTTCGTCTGTTCTTAGTCAAAATGCCTTTGGTTTTATATCCAGATCCAAAGGGCTGCGCAGTTGTCCACAGCCTGGGCTAGGAGTTGGTGGAGCATTCACCTGATTAGGCAAAACGCTAATCACCCTAATTCTGTTCCTACGGCAGCTCCTACCTTCCAGGGGCTTGGCTTTGCCAGCGTGCTATTCTCTAAGGTCGCTTTCTGTGCATCTCAGCTGAAACGCTCGGCTATGAACACTGAGAGTCACAGCAAGGAGATCCTCTCTGTGCAGTGGGAATGTAACTGCTTTTGCTTTGTCCTGTGAGGGATGGTTTAATATGGCAGTGTCTAATTTAATGGGATTGCACACTTGACAATGAACTAACACGTCGCTGTATAAATCCCGTTCAGTTAGAGAGTGTTAGAGACAAGCAGTTCCATTGGACTCGTCGTAATAAGCAGACAAACAAATGCATAAGGAAATGCAAACTCACTTTCCGCTATGCTCGTCGGCTCCGCTGCCAGGAGAGCTGACTGTCTGGCCATTTGTCTCTCCCGCTGCCTGGAAAACGAAGCGTTCCTGATACATATTTCATATATCCTGTTCTGAAAGCTGGAAGTACTGGGTATCCTTGCCATAGGAACACAAGGTGCTGAACTTGTTTTTCTCTCCACTTGCATAATTGAAAGTAACAGTTAGAGGCAACAGAACATCACCAAAATAATAATATCTCAGCCAAAAGGTGTTGCTCCCATACAGAGATTTCAGTAAACAGACTCTGCGATGGCAATGGCACCAGCTCTACTGACACCAGAGCTAAACACTGTAGGGGATTTTGTATCAAAATTTTGTGTAAAAGAGAAGGAGAGCTGCCCACAGGATCAAGGAAACAGTTAACCTCCAACAATGTTTTCACTGCTTCTCTTATCTGGCTTCCTATAAATTTGACAGTGTCTGACAATGGCTTTGGTTTATGCTCTGTACCCGCATCATCAGACGGCAAAGGATCTTCAGGGAAACTAACGGTTTGTTCCAGGTATGCCCATGTACATTTCCTTAAGCCTGTGCCATAGGCTTAGATACCTGCGTAAGCTTTGGGCCTCCCGCTAAACAGCCCAGCAGAAGGCAAACTTGCAGAGTCTCTGGGAATCGGAATCCGAATGCGTGCCACAGTTCATGCAGCAGAATAAGACATACAAATTCCAGCTTGGTTTCAGCACCCAAGGTAAAAGCTAGACCCAGCCATTATCCCTCCCACAGCTGCAGTTAGGCTTTTGGCTCTGCCTCTAGATACTACGTCTGTCGGCAGCAGAATTAATGCTTTCCTGAGCAGCACGCACCTCGCCGCCTTCGAGTACAGCCTGCTGAGAGAAAAGCAAGAGGGGCCAGGCGGAATATGGACTTGCGCTGCCCAAAGCAAATTTTTTTCTTCTTTCATTCCCTCCTGCTGCAGTTTCATTTTCTTAACGCTGCTTTTGCCTGCGGAGTTGCCCGTTGTTCTTAGGCAGCCCCGGTCCCCAGTTCTCCCGGTAGCCTTTGCACGGTACCTCTGGTACGCTCTCTGCTTCGACAGCGGCCTCTCAGCTTCGGTGCCGTGGGATTCACGGGGGCCAGCAGCAATGGGAACGCTCCCAGCGCCTTCACGGGTCTTCCTCTCGTTCACGATGAACTCGTAGAGGTCTCGGTTATGCTCGCAGCAGAATTTCTGAAAGGCAGAAGAGTTTTCCTCTGCTGATCCTCCCCCCCAGCTTACTGATTCCCAGTCCTGTGACGGTGGGCAAACGTCTTCGAAGGGCGGGAAGGGCTTCAGCAGCCTGCCGCAGTGCTCGCACCTCGGCGCGGGGGCCTCCTCTCTCTGAAGCAGAGGTGGGGAGAGAGAACACGGGGAGGACGGAAATACGGCACCAGCACGCAAATCCTCATTTTGTTGTGAGGAAAGAGGGCTCTGCTCAAAACGCAGTGCTGTAAAGCGTGGAAGAGCAGTTAAAACAGATCTGTGTCTGCGGTGTCTTGGAACCATTTAACTCAAAACATCAGGTTCAGGAAACCAACCAAGAAGAAAAGCTCATCTGTAGTAAACAAATAAATAAAACCCTCAATGGAATGACTGTAGTATTTGTGAGACCTGCTTCTAGCAAGGGAAGGCTTCAGAGTGTGCGGAACGCTGTAGTTGAGTGCTCTGAGGCATTAATGCTTTCAAATATGTTGCTTAGGGCAGTGGAGAGAAAAAGCTCCCAGACTTGTGTGGCTGATCACAAGCAAATCCATGGGGAATTCCGTGAGGAACCACCAGCAGATCTGCTGACAGAAGAGGTGAGCATAACCGACCGATGCAGGTCAGGGCTGCTGCAGGGTGTATTTTGAGGATGGACACTAGATACTCTGAAAGAAATGCCCATTTTTTTGAAAACGCGTTGTGAAACCGAGTTACAGAAGAGGCAGCTGCCAGGAGCACGCTGCCGAAGGCCGTGCGTAAGGCCTCCACTCCCGAGGGCCACGCGCCAAGCTCAGCGCTGCCCGGAGAGACAGCAGCAGCCCCCCAGCTGCCGCAGCACGGGGCTTAGGGCCTCCACTCCCGAGGGCCACGCGCCAAGCTCAGCGCTGCCCGGAGAGACAGCAGCAGCCCCCCAGCTGCAGCAGCACGGGGCCAAGGGTACCGGCTCCGGGCCGCTGCGCTCACGCGTCATCCGCTGCGCTGCCCTTCGGCACTTTCACCCAAATCCTTTTCTGAACATACTAACCTGACATTCTTGGCTTCTCTGGAGCGTGGCTCCTGGAAATTCCCTTGCTCCCCACCTCCTGTCTAGGATTAACTCTCTGATGATTTTACTCTGCCAAGGGTTATGGGGAGCTCTATGCCCCACTTGTGTTCTTTGACTGTACACCTAGTATTTATATAAATTTTGTAGCTCTGTTTTACTCAAAGGGCAAAATCTTTTGCTAGGAAATTCTCAACACAGGCTGTAGCAGCGGGGAGAGGAGCTGCACAGCCTCTTGCTGTATCGGTGTGCACAACAAGCATCGTTGCAACAGCCTCACGAAAGAAAACCCCTTTCATAAAGGAACACCTGCACTGGCTTGGCAAAGGGCATTATTTTTACTATTCCTGGATGGGAACTGCAGGAATTAAAACAAGCACAAAAATCCGCACGGTGGGGAACACCCATGGCTGACTCGCCTCGATCTGGATGTTTTCTCGTGACGATTCGGGTCTGTAGGCCAGAAGGGTAGGCAGACCAACGGAGGGGAGCGTGCGCAGAGATTGCTGGAACAGCTTCACGAAATCTTCATTGAACTCAAAGTGGAAAATACGAAAAGCAATGTGGAGTCATATCTTTGTTCAGGGGTAAAACCATTAAGCATAAAATATATATATGTGACCTGGGTGAGTCCTTACCTCTGTGTCGCACAAGACATCTAAGCCGCTGAACTCTTCTGACAGGGCTGCAAGTGACAGCGATGATGAGGATTACTGAGCAGCAGCGCTGTGTTCTCAGAAAGCTGATCTCTTAGGCACAGCTGTTTTCTCACCGAGCACATCGGCCGCCCCAGACCTGCTTGCCAGAGTGGGTCCTACGCTTTGAGAAGGGCGGCTCTGGGTCTGTGTGTAACCTTTCCCAGCGCCCGGGGGACTCGAACTGGGCACTGGGTCAGGGCTTGGCAAACTTGTCCCACTGAGGTCACGGAGATTGCTTACTGCTTGGGGTCAGCGACTTGTGGCACTGGTCTAACACTGCATTTTCCTCTGAAGCCTTTCCAGCCTCCTCATAAGAAAGAGCTGTAGGGGCGACTGAAGTTTTTTCTCATTTCCAAGTGCATGCCTGTCCATCACGGGCTGCGCAGGCCCCCTTCGTGCTGGGACAGATCTGCTGGAGGCTTTCCCCAGTGCCTTCAGCTGGCGTGCCGTGCTTTGCGCCCAGAACACCCCTCCTGCTCTCGGAGGCGTGCGCCGTGCGGCAGACGTCCTCCTCCCGGGCTGCCTGGCACTGAGCGGAGCACGCAGGCTGTTGGCTGCAGTGCCCAGCAGGGAGGGGGTCAGGCAGCAGCTGAGGCACAACGCTGTGCTGCAAGCGAAGGCGAAGCTCCTCGGCTGCGTGCCGGGGTGACGCAGCCGGGCAGGAGGAGGAGGAGGCTGATGTACGTTCAGCTCCCCTCTGGGACTTTGCTGTGCCTCTCGGAGGACCGCAGCGCGCTGGCCCGGCCACCTGCAGAGCGCTCGCTGGCTGGGCGCTCCGGCTCGCTGCGCAGAGCCTGGTTCAGCGGTGGCTCTGCGGGGCGGTTAACGAGGGCAGCGCAGAGCGGGTGGGCCGCGGGGGGCTGCTGCCGACTCGCAAACCG